CACCACAAAAAGTATCTAAGAGTTTCTTTTTGAATAGCTCAATCTACCCAGACAGGGTATCATTCATTCTTCAGTCCTGAGGGTATGTGGTCTCAGGTTTTGAGCCCCAGATGATGACAAATGGCAGCACAGATTCCTCCCCATTCCTCTGTACCACCTTTCTAAATGAGTGTTAGGTTTCCACAGCTGACCTACTTTTAGCCATCTCAGCCTTTGTTTGAAAGCTGAAAGGCCAGGTTTGGACTTTAAAAGGTTTCAAAACACATCATAAAGAACAGTGAAAAAAATGATGAGGAATGATTTGGTGGTTTTAAATTACAGTGAGTGGGACTTCCTGCACATTTATAAATGGATGGAACGTAATAATCTTGACTCACATCGGAAGCCTACATAACATGCTAGAAATTTCCCAGAGTGGAAAATCTAGTTAGAAGCAATCTAATTGCTTCTAATTAGAAGTAATCATTCAGGCTTTGTATTCTGTGAGTGCCCCCAACAGTGTCAAGTTTATGGATGTCTGACAAATATTGATTGATTGGTTATGTGCGCATGAATGTTAAAGACACAAATTCCCCATGGATTTGTCATTTCTAAGGTTCAAAACAGCAGTTTGTTCTCAATTATAATTCCAGCAAATTCTAAAGCATTTAGTCTTACCCTCATTCCTTCAAAGCGGGATAAGGCTCTCAATGGCCTCAGAGCTCTTAGTGTTCTGAGGGATTTGATGGCACCAAGTTCTGAGTAGCCCAGAGCATTTGCAGTTAAGCTAACCAATGAGACCTAACAGAGAAAGTAACACAATTTTCTTACTTACAGTTAAAAATGTTTACACAATTCAACCTTGCTCCATGCAATAAACCAGTAGTTCTCAAACTTTGCTATCAAAATCACCTGGAAGGCTCATTGCAAACAAATCACTGGCCAAGGTTTGGGGTGGGGCCTGAGAATTTGCATTTTTCAAATTCCCAGGTGAGGCTAATGATAACTGGCCACACTTTGAGACCCACTGCTATAAACTTATGAAAAAGAAGAAGCTATACATGTTCCTTTTTTTCAAGATTCTTGACAAGAAAAATTTAAAAAAATCAAACGTAAAGCAAAGAAAAGTGACAGAAATGAAATCTTCACCTACAGATTTGTAAACTTTATCATTTCTCATATTATTTATCAGATCTGAAAGAGTAATGAACATTTAGTACAAGTATACCAGTAAACTATGC